TTGGTTCAGTTTTTCTGGTTTAGTCGGTTTGAAAGTAATAATTTTTTTGAGGACGTACGTATCTTGATAGACACAAATACCAAGTATATGAACAATCTACAGAAAAACTAATGTAGGTTCAGTCAACCAATTAAGTAATATTAGAGTTATCATTACACGAACAAAGTGATTTATTTAAGATAAAGTGTGACTATTTTATGTGAAGTACAGTAAGTAAAGACTAAAATAAATTTTGATGGACTTGAATTTGAGATTGTTATACCTTGGCTAAAGTGTTAGGCTTGAAAAAATGGTAAAGTTAAAGCCTTAAGTTAATTAAATTTTAACAAAAAAATTTTAATTTATTTATAATAATATATGAATAATTATAAAATTTATATATCTAATTTATCGGTTTGGTTTGGTTATTTTTACGGTTGTTTTTTAGTAAAATCAAAATCAAACCAAATAGTATCGGTTTTCAAAATTTAAAAACCTAACCTAACCAAACTAAACCAGATATCGGTTTTTATAAATCGGTTTGGTTCAGATTGTGGTTTGGTTTGGTTGTTAACCATAACCATGAACAGCCCTACCGATAACGACTTTAGCACTCTTTATTAGTATCAATATTTAATGCCATTAAAAGTTATTTTTGTTGTAGTGAGAGAAGGGGGGGGGGTCCGTTTTATTTTATAATTTTTAAAGTATTTTAAATAAAAAATAGGCCAAAGTCATATGCGGCCACTCAAACTTGTCCCGATTATTCATTTAGACACCTGAACTAGGACTTATACCTATTGAACACCTAAATTATCAAGAAATGTGCCTATTAAACACAAAATGCTGATGTGGCAAAGTAAGTGTATCTCACTGCTGCTGAGCGCGTGAATGCATTTTTTTTTTAAATTTTTATACCTACTTTGTTGATACTTGGCATGCATTGACTAAATATATATATAAAAAATTAATTTAATTAAGCATAAATCTTTTAAATCATAAAAAAAAACCCACACTCATCTTCCTTCAACACACCATTTTAAAAACTTCAAATTTCTCTGCTTTTGTTATGATTTTTTTTAAATTTTTTGTAAACAAAACGTCTGCTGCATTTTCAAGAAGAAGAAAAACTGAAACATTTGGAGTTAAAAATTGACCAATATCTGTACTTTTTTATTTTCAATAACTCCAATTGAGCAACTATCACCATTCATAAACTTATTATAAATGCTATAAAATATTTGATATAATGTTAATTTCTCTTTGTTGTCGATTTTAAAATAATTTATCAAGATCGATTATATTTATAAAATCGGAATAGTCGTCAAAAGAATAACATATAATGAAGAAAATGAAAGAGAAAAACATTTGGTGGATGAATTCGAAATGAGATGGGGTTAGACATTTTTTTTGTTATGAAGAGGAATGGTGATTATGGAACAAGAGAGAAGAAGAAGAGAAGAAGAAGAGAATAAGATGAAGAAAAAAGGGCAGTAAG